AAACTTTAAAAAAAATAAGAGTATTGTACTCAGTGCAAAAATCAAGTTGTTTTAGGAAACAGTATTTACCAAAGAAAACACATTTATGAATCTGTAATGGAACTGAAAGTATATGAGGACTTCAACAGTTGCTTCTCACCACCAGGTGTACTCATAATGTTTCTGTAAAAGTACAACACAAGTGTACAGATCTACAAAGGAGCCTAAGTGCCAAAATGCAAAGCTGTGAATTCTTGCCGTTGTCAGAATTTACTCAGGGATGGAAGTCATGTTAATCCAAAGGACTCCAAAAACAAGGACAGAATTAAATTACAATACGCACCTTTTCTACAGGTAGAAAGTCATTTTCTACTTCTATTGACCTTGGCCGTAGCTTTATAGGTTTGTCTTTGAAGATATCTCCAAAGCCAACCCCCTTGACTTTTTTGGGTTGGATTGGTGCAGCTCCATTGGCACCTTCTGATTTTGTGCTGCTTGAGTCACCACCATCACTCTCAGAGCCTGTTGCATCTTTTAAGCCTGCCAGGGGAAGGAGGAAAAAGAAACCTTAGGTACAGATCTTTATGGTAATTTGAAAATAGAGCACAGTGGATAAAACAGCATCCCTTCCTAAAAGAAAGTATCACAGAGCAACAGAGGCTTCATTTTAGGGTTTGGGCTTATAATTTTCTGTTATATTTTTAAGCCTTCCTCATACAGCTCTATTAGCTACAATTTACACCATCCCACACCAATACATACTGCCCAGTATCAAAATTTATCTCCTGAATTAAAAAACTCTTTTCTTTCTAGACAAAAATCACTCAAGACATAGGCAACTGGTGCCTTCTGAGTCTGGGGGGGCACCAGATCGCCAACCAGGGGGAGGGATCCCCCAGCAGCCAATACCCGAACCAGCGCTGAAACTGGCAGTGCACTTCCAGCTCCACTTCTGGCTTCTAGAGGGTGCACGGCTGATCTCAGGGTGTGCACATGCACCTGCTACGCGTCGCCAATGACTCAAGAAATGAAGGAGTTAAATTCAGTTCTAGGTCAGCTATTGTATTAAGGGCACCTAACACTTGTGAATGGTCAGATGAGACATGCCATACCTTAAAATGGTATGACTCATGTCAAGCCAATTATGCAATTAGTTTCCAAAGCTACATTACTAAAGGGGAAATGTAAAGCTAAAAGCCATTTAAACACATTTTCAGTCAAATAAGCTGGATAATATTATCCCTACTGAAATAATTAAATCTCTCTGCAGCTTAGACAGCCTTATAAGAAAAGCACCCATGCATACCCTCCCCCCCTAGTAATAAATTAACCTGACATTCTGATTTGTTTTACCCCTCTCACTGACTAGGAGCATCCATCTGTACTCATCTGATAATTTCCTGTCTTTGAGTAATAAGATCCACCGATCTGATGCAAAGAGACTTCAGCCTGTTTGCAGAACCAGACCTATCTGCCATGGACAGTGCCTCACTTCATCGAGTTCCCTCTGAGAAAAATAACTTCCAAAGCCATTACAACTTGAGTTGAATATACTTTGACAAAAAACAGCACATTTCTGCTACTACAGAGTATAGCAAATTCTACATAATAATAGCAAACCCAAATCCCTGGTTATCAGTTTTTTTTAACTATTCAGAAAGATCCAGGGAAGCAGATCTATGTACCTTACAACTCAAAGAAGATACAGTTTTTAGTTAGTACACAAGAGATTTTCTTATTTCTTCTTCATTCCTAGGTCCATAGATCTGCTACACTGAGGTTTTAATAGCAGCATACCTCCAAAGGCATGAAACAGAATCATCCTTTAAATGCAGACATCCAAAACAATTCGGACTATATATAAAAGCTTTTCTCCATCTTCATTTGGACACTAAGGGATGGAGAAGACTTTTGCTAAAAGAAAAAAACTGCATTGACTAGGACCGGATGGTCAACATGGAAAATTTGGAGAATTAATGGCAATCCAACAAACTGTGATAAAAAAAGATGATACCACTCAAAGTTCTAAGTCTTAATATTCTTAGGAATAAGCTAATTAACTGAAGGAGAAAAGTTGTGAATAATTCTTGTGAGGATTGTCTGAATTCAAAGTACAATGCTGGGCTCATTAAAGAAAGCTTCCTATTTCAAGTGAAAAATCCGACTGGAGATATGAGCCATTAGGAGGCCCATTGCAATGGGCAGGAGGTATAACGTCTGGTCCTCAGGATGCGTTCAATGTGAAGAGTGCTATAAGGAGCAGAATGAGCTTCCACAGTAGTGCTTGATGACCGTGAGGGACATCCAATGTGAATTACTCTTGAGGATCATAGGCAGACAAGGTTCTTTGGGTGAATCTGATCATTATGATCTTGAAGATCATAACAGTCTTCAGTCAGAGAAGCATAAAATGGTACTGCAGCCATTCTTTTATTTCCAGCTTTTATACCAACTGGGGATCAGGGGAAAAGGTGGGAAGACATACGAGCTTTCCAAGATGCCTTTCACCATCTTACATTCTAGGTCTGGCCCACGGAGAAGTTGCAGGACACTTATTATTTCCAGATGCAAAATATTAATTACTAGCAAGCCAGTCTTCTTACAAGGAATAAGGTATTTGTAGCTGTACAAGTTAACCCAAGAGACAAGAAATTACTCTCTGGGGCACTTTTTTATTGTTTACCCCATTCATTAAGAAAACCCAGTCTCAGACATACTGCCATGACCAGAACAGGTCTGCTACCTGTAGGAGAAGCAAGGGTTGGAGACCTCAATCCATTTATTGATTCCATGTAGTAAATATTGTCCTCTCTCTATATGGTACTCTTACTCTGAAATGATCCAGGAAACCTTCTGTCTTCCATTTGACTTCTTAAACTGCATTCACCAGTTGGCATGCAATTGGAACTAGATTTCTGTCGAAGGACCACATTAGGCAAGAAACGGAGGTCCACAAAAGATAACTGAATCCCTGCTTGTTTAGAGGATCAGACTTCCTACTGGGTTTCAATATGTATGTTTCTGTTCTATCACTTGTTTACCATTATGATTATCATGATCATCTTCCTCTTCTGCTGGCAGTCTTCTGTGACAAGACCTTCTATACCTAATAGCATTCATCTTCAGTCCAGGCCCATGACCGACTTCCATGATACCAAAGAGCTGTTTATCCAGGATCTTGGAGAGCTCCTCTTGGGAGTACATATAACATTATATAATATGAATTAGAGCTATGAAGAGAAAAGAGTTAGAATTCAGAATTATCCATCTGCAAATCTTAACAATTGTCTGAGGATAGTACGTTGCAAATACCAGGAACAAGTAGGATTTATCTAGCTGTTTCAGACAAGGCCCTACTCTGCTTGTCACCAATTTTCTGAGGCTATACCGTAAGATAGGAAACAAGTTGCAGTGCTCTGCTCAGAGATGATGGATGGTTTTGCTTATGTTATGGCCTTTTTGTGAGTTTCTGGAACAGAGTTGTTTCTAAAATTATTGCACTCCTCCTTTGTTGGTGACCTTATTTCAGTAAAGTTTTAAGTTGCCCTTTTAGCCCCTGAACTGATAGCCTGGTACCAGTGAGCAGGCTCAGACCACAGTAGGCTGGTTGGAAGACCTACAGAGGCAAGAGATGACAACTATTTCTTCTGTACTTAATCAGTCTACCACTTGAAAAAAAACTATTTTCTCCATTTGCATTTCAAGGATGGCTTCAGATTGTTATATGTATATTCCTTTCTACAGAGTCTGACAGGAACCAGGATTGCAAATCAACTTTACTAACGACTCTAAACAGCTTAAAAATTCCAAGAAAGCATGTTTACTGTATTACTTAGCTAGGTGGGAACCATTTCATCTGTGCATCTCAACCCCAAGGACCAATGCAATCTGTAAATTATGAAGGACCATATCATATCACTGTGCACTCAAGTTAACAATCTTTGTGACATGGCATAGAGGCACTCAGTGCCAGATTAGGCACTGAGTACAATCCCCATTCCACACTATTTAAATCTCTGAAAAGCCATTAATACTAAACAAGTCCTCCTTTTCCTTGCCACTTTTTGTAGCTTAGTCATAAGGCTAAGATGAAGTAGAAAGTCCATTACAAAATTAAGTTTTCAGAGACTTAAGCAGCATGGCATGAGACTGCGCTTAGACACTTATTATATGGACAAACAGATTTGACACTTAACAGGGGGGCTCACTGCAGTGAAGCTGATGTATGATAACTGTTCACGTGCCTGCCATTACCCTGGGCAACAGGACTAAGGTGACCCACTTACCACAGGGTGAGAGCAGGCATACAAACAATTACTGCACGTCAGTTGCTTTGTGGTAGTAGATGCCTTGCTAACATTTTAATTTGCTGTCCATAACTTAGGGTCAGATGATGGCTCAATGTTTTTTATTTGTCTTGGATTGAAAGTTGATCCACCCTGAAATATTGGCAGAATTCATGAGGTATCCAGTGTCCTCCACATGTGATCCAGGGATAACTGGAAGGGGAAGGGGTATCAGAGCTCAGTGTGGGGGCTGAGAGAGCTTATGTGATATCTTCCATGGAGCATGTGGTCTTTCTGGCTTCATCCTCTCCTGGAGATGGCACAAGATAGCTTGCTTGGCTAAGAGCCTGCCCTATTTTAATCCTGCCCATGTCCCTTCCTACTGGATGAGACATGGAGGCCAAGGTCTACTATTAGCCAGGGATGCATGTTTTGCCCAGTGGAGCTTGCCTAACTGTTTGGCTGCTCCCCTGCTCAAGACCAGGAATAAGGTAATCTTTCTGCTCAGGGATGCCCTCTTATGAGACACTCAATAATAGGGTTGCCAGAGACACAAGCCTTTCCTTTAACCTCCATTTTTTCTCAGCCTAGCTCTGTCCCTGGAGCCTCAAAGGGGCACCAACCATTGTAAATCACCTCAGAAAGATAAAGATGAGGGGACAGTCTCCCTCAAAAGCAAATAAAATCCAGGAATGTAGCCAAGAATTAGACAGACCCATTACTGAGCTGTATTATTAATCTAAGAAATTGAAATGAAGTTTGAGAGTTTCCCCAAGAAAAGCTCTGCAGCAGGAAAGTCCGGCTGAGCCGCTAGCTGCTCTGGGAACATTAAAAGCTGGAGGGCTCTTTGCAAGGCAAAATATTCCCCTGTTGCTAGTGACTGATGGGTCTGGTTCTGCACCCCAGCTGCAAGCAGGCTGAAGTATTTGAAAAAGATCTGTGGACTCTGTACAAGGAAGAAAAAGGCATTCCATTTATAACACCTTGGAGCAAAGAGTAATTTCCTTAAGCTCTGATCAAATTCACAAGCATGCACATGCTTATAGTCTATGGCTGAATATCAAGTATTTCTGAGTGCAAGGTAGAATAAAAGCTATACTAGTCACTTTTCATTTTTATAGCAAGTTTCCAAGAAGCACGGAAAGACAAAATGCATTTAAATGGTTCACAAGCTACTGATGCAACACAAACTTTGATCTCACTAACCTGACTGCTGTCATGCCAGTCCAAACTACTCAAGTGTGAAACATGTTT